TGAGAGGTAATCATTGTCATCTTCAATCCCATCAAAATTGTTGGGAGGGCCAGAGGAATCGGGAGATTCGGTATAATCTATGCATGTTAATACCCATCCTTCGCTACTATACAAGCTTGGAGAATAATTACTGTCTGATTCCGGAGATTTTTCCATATCAGTGGCATCCATTTGGGGCTCAGGTTCTCTCTCGTCTTGAATATTGGTGGTAGGAGGTGCGGGAAACTCAGGTAAATTGGCATTCCTGAGATATCCTGGAGGAGTAGAGTCGCGAAGAATAGGTCTTGCACTACCTGAAGGAGGTGACTATAATATGTGTGAGCAAAAAGTCACAAGGGAGGGAAAATGAGGTGGTCCTTACATCTGTCATTTTTAACAACAATCTCAGGGGTAGAGAAAGTGTCTGTACCGTGATAACCTATGTATTAATATATGAATGAGGATGATTGAAGACAAAGGTTGTAGAGGAATGAAGGAAATGATCACACTCTAATAGTTGGTTTACTGAAGAGTATTGAATGATTAAATGAATCTTTCTTGAGTATCTATCAAAGGATCTTTCTTTGACAATTTTATTAGAGGTTGAGTTCAGGGGGAATGGGAGGCAGACATTTATTCCAGCCTAGAAGATAGTTCTGGCTAGCTCAGTGTCTGCTCAGTATCTGCTCAGTATCATACGGCTAGTGATGCAATATGTGCATAGAAATCTGAACCTTATCAGCTAATAACATTAGAAGGCATGGCTTCAGTTTTTTTTTGGTGAAATATTACTTTGTTCAATGAAAATAAATGAATACGGGCACCCTTGAAAGCTTCAGAATACTTCAACAATTAAGGCTTCAATGGGATGCACCTTCCAAAAGAGACCCAGTTAGTTCGATTTAAAAGACATGCTAGTACTCGGTAGTATAATCTGTAAACTTTATTCCATATATTTCTCGAAAATGCTGGACACCCTCGATAACTTTTAAGCTGAGAAACATAAGAAATTTATAGGATTTACTTGATTTCCTTTCTGCGCAGAAAATTCTAGACTCATGAAATATCCCATCATTCGCAATCTAGCAGAAAATTGCAGTTCAAGCGCCTCCGTACTAATCTGCAAGAAATACAAACAAGGCCAGAACGACGATATAGAAATGGATACGAATCAAAGTAAAACTGAAATAATAAACTATACCAGAGAGATGATTGTCTACAGTACAAGTGATATATCCCGCTCTTAACTAGTCAAGTCAAATTCATCAAAAATTCAACCCTCCACTCAGTACCATTTTTCATGTGCAAGCGCACAAAAAGTTGTTTTCTTGCTAAATTTTGCTCGTCAATCAGAAACTTCCAACATACAGCTCCGAAGCTTTCAGGAGGTGGCTGAGAGTTGAAGTGGTAGGTAGTCCAGAGAAGAATCCTTCAATGTGAAAAGTTAAAGGGATACACTGCAAAAGGAACACCTCAATAACCCCCAATACATCGAAGAACTAAAGAAATATATCAAGAACAATAAAGTCTCCCAAAAATTAAAATTGCAAAGCCTACTTCACATTAGAAGAGCTCTCTCTCTCTCTCTCTCTTTTTCTTATATTACCTCTTAGCTTCACCCGCTCTCTGCTCTCCGATTTCAATGCCCAGCCTCTACTCCGTACCTTGATTCCTCTACCCACTGCTTAAAAATCCACTCAGCCCTTTGGGAACAATTCTAGTGCAAGACAGTTTGTTCATAAATGTTGCATCAAGTTCTGAGCCATCTTATCAAGAGTGAACATGTACGGTCGCAATGAAGGTTGCACAAGTTCAACTGAGTCTGTATCTTATAACGAGAATGATGAAAAATCAACTCCTAGCATAAATGAATGATAATAATTAAGTGCCGTTAACGAACAACACATTGTTCGATGGGGGTATATGTAAACGTCCAAATTCATCAATCTGAGAATTTTTACTCTAATCCGAACCCCTATAGACTGAAAAAGTCTTGGAAGATAATAGTTATGGAGGTCTATATTGCACACCGGCCATTCATTAAATAAACCCGAAATCTTTTCTGAATACAATGATCGTTAATCGAGCACCATTCAAACAGCTGTGCAATGCGAAGTGGCTTTGAACTTTGAATTTAAAGCATCGACATCATAAGTGGAATGGAGTCTCTCTTCTCGTTTATTTTCGGCGCCGAAGGTTTAGTAGAGCTCATGTATGATCGTTTCCCGCCTGTCCCGCCGGTCTTTGCGGCGCTGACTGCCGCAACTGAGTGCGGCTTCGGCACGATCATGTTCAGTAGTGAGCAGTAATGCTGGAAGGCATCCGCAAAATATGCCAACGTGCATTTCGAGAGTGCTCCAGTACACAACCGGACTGTAGTCCTCTAACCTCTTACTCAGAAACGAGAAGCTTAGAGATGAGGGGTCAATCTACAACTTCGACAAGGGCACGAACTCGTGTGACGCTTACCGCAACCACACTGTTGAAAACTAGCGAATAAAAAATGGCCGGAAATAGTCCTACAATAACCCCGGAGCATAGAAGGTCTATTAGCGAGATTCTAGAACTGAGAAGCATGCATAAACTTGAAGAACATAAACATGATGGTGGAATTTTTTGTCTTGGACATGACTAATTGAGAAAGTTTTCTTAATGGCAGGCCAATGACCACAACAAAATCTAAGATAATATTGAAAATAGAACTTGGCCATACTCTGTGCAAGCCATCCCATTGATTCCATGAATAGCTAACGGCAGCTCTAGGAAATGGTTGCCATTACGAAGTTAATACTATAGGCAACAGAAAGTCCAAGTGTGCCCCAAACGTAATAAATGAATGGCTTCTCGCGAACCACCCGAAGGAAAAGTAAGACAAAATGTAACTTTTATCATGGCCATTGCGGCGAGATAGAAACATTCACCGAGGACATATGTAGTACTGATTAGCGTTAGCTCGTATCTAAAGATGCCAATGTCAGGCGTACAAACGGGTAGAATATTTGTGATATTATCAACTGTCGGAGCCCACACATCTTTTCCTAGACCATTTTTGGCCAAAAATGGAACATATGCCGCAGCAGATATCGGAAGTATGCTTTCTATGATGGCGGATTATGAAGAGGATAGAATCAGACATTTCGAGATCTTCATGCTTAAAGATATTGTTGTCCATGTAGAACAATGTTGAAGATTTTACTGGAGTCAGAAACACTGGCCATAGTAGTCGTTTGCAATTCACTCCGGACGTTTGAATGGCTATTGGCTATTGCTGGTGAATAAAGTTCCAAGGATGTTAATATTAGAGTAGAGATGATATTATACTGGTTAATGAATGTGATCTTGGAAGTTGATAGTTTGTAGTTGTAAGTTGTACGAGTAAAGTGGTGGTGGATACAATGTACAGAAGTAATACCCCACATACTTCTTGTGAATGCATGCTGATGGTCATCGAGACATAGTACCTCTTGCCTAGTTTAAATCTCCTTCCTCAAGAATACAGCACTCCAATACCACGATTTTCCCGTGGAATCAACTTTTGGACCAAACAAGTTTTCCACATATTTATAACCTTTGTAACCTCTCCTCTCATACCATTCTTGATTGGAGAACTGGGTGAAAGTTAGCATGTAAGTCTTAGAAAAACATTCTCTCTGTATAAGTACGAGAAATACTCACAGGTGGAATTACCAAGCCTAGAGCTTTGTACTTCTCCTCCCTTCCTGGATCAACTTTATCAATCGTATTCAAGCCTAATGTGCTCGCGCACAATGGTTCGCAAATCGCCAAATTCTCGACAGTATCCATAGCTGCCTTTCCTAATCCTGTTCCCTGAAGAGCACGGGAGATATAGAAGTTTGATATCCAGTAAAATCCTTCGGTCCTTGAGACATATCCGAGATTCAAATAATTTTCGGATGGAGGACCTAAACAGATATGTCCGATTGGAATGAAAGTTCTCTGTGGCGAGAGAATATCTCGAGGTTTTCCCCCAAAAGAAATTGCAGAGTCAACCAGCGGTTCTTTTTCTTGGGGATGCACCTCAGTATGCTTGAATAATCTGGCATCTTTTTCGAGATCGGAATCTGCCAGTACCTGGAAGATTTAGAATTCGGAAACAGGAATCAATGTGGGCAAGCATATTCACAATCCATTGAATATTAAGTTTTCCACTCTCTTGAGTTTTCCTCCATGATTCGACGTATTCATCATCCCATCCGCAAGCGACGCGTTGTTGTACTAGTCGTTCAACATGTTCAGGAGAGGTGGGATCCCAAGGGATTAGTTCGATTTCGGGTTTCGAGGAGTTAGCAGGTGCCATTTTGATTTTTTGAAAGAACAATGGACAAGCAAAAGAGTCGATTATAATCATACTTATAACTTCCCGAAGCCAGTTGTTAGATCCATTTTTTATACTAGCTATGCTTCGTCATGAGAAAGCCACCTGCTGAATGACAAGTAGTCTTCAACCAGGGTCGAAGGGCGTAAGAAAGACATGAGGATTTCGGCCAAGGAGCTTTGCTAAGATAGAGGTTTCTTCAGGTGCCTACCGTCGTATGAGACGTAGATATCTTTTTCTCTCCGCGGATCTGTCGGATATGTAAAAATGTGTTTGTAATTCCCAAATATTGCAACTTGACAATTTCCTTGAATTCTCCATTTGGACATTTGGACTGGACGTTGTTTCCCCACCTCTAAAGCAGCATCTCTACTTTCGCCCGACTTGTCATGCCATACACTTTCCGACCGATTCCTCAATCTAATATTGTATCTACTGCTCCTAAGCACTACAATCGATCTGAGAACCGAAGCAGAAATTTAGCACTGAACTATCGGGTCAACAATCACCTTCAACACCGATTGGGCAATGCCAGCTACTAATCCGTGAGTAATTAAGAACAAATCAAGAATAATCACGTGATCGCAAAACAGTCTCAAGAATCCACAATCGATTCTCACAACCTATATCACAATAGCCCACCCCATGACATCAAATCAGCCAAGTATGGCCTATAAGTGATCACGGCCTGATAGTTCAGTGGTAGAATTCTTGCTTTGGGTTGTCAAAATCTAAATTGTAAGAGGTCTCCGGTTCGATCCCGGATTAGGCCCTTTCCTTTTGCTTTTACTTTGCTTGAGAGATGTTGTAGTAATAAGATAGATATCTCTCTTCTGTATGGATATAAATTTGGATTGATTATTTTTCAGGTTTTGTTTTGTGTATTTGGTTGGATGTGGTGGGTGTGCAGATTTGGAAACGGGTCCGACGGCTATATCGGATATGGGCGGATGTATCTTAGAATTTATATACGGGAGTTCTGGCTATGCATTATTAGATGGAACATTATATTCATGGTTAATGGTAAATAAATAATAGAGTTATAGATCAAATTGCTTCCCAGAAGCCCCAGGCATTTCCATTGTCTATCTTTAAAAGAAAGTCATGAGTCCCTTGTTGTCGAATTATATTACGGACTTGGAAGCCGGGTTTGGAAATAAACTCAACAGTAGTTTATTTAGACACCGGGCCGATTTTATACATCAATTTCATTCAAGATATCAAATCCATTTAGAATATTTGTATATATCTAAAGAATCACAATTCCTCAAATAGTTAATTCGATATATTACAACTAACTGTATGCAGCAGAAACCACGAAGCAGAAATAGGAAGAAGCCACTCCCATTCTCATTACTTCGATGTAACGAATTCACAAGGTCAGGTTGTTTGTCTAGATCATTCACGATTCCTTCATTCACGATTCCTTTCTATTTATTCCAATGTCCCAATCTCTACCGATACCGCGTAGGCTCTATAAAAACCTTTTAAGCATGTCTTTAGCACTGCACACAATATCTTTCGTGTTGGAAGTTTGGGCAATAGGATGCAGGAGATAGTGAGAGTGTTGGGAATAAGGTATGAAATGACATCACCAATTTTCGTGGACGAAGCGTAAGACTATGGCCAAATAGTGTTAAAATGCGAGAATCTTACCATTAACTGCGTTTTTATCATTACCAGGGAGGAAGTACATGATCAGGACATAAAATGGATTTGGAGAGGTTCCGGCGCACTTGTAAGAAATTCCTTTCTTATTGAAATTGATAAAATTGGAATTTTTCCGTGTCCGATTCGAAGAGCATAAATGCCAAATAACACATTTGCCGCCTTGGAAGGGACGAAATGTCTTGTCGTCTTCAAGGGAGCTGTTAGACATCTCGGCAAACGATGGTTGAAGCTTGTCATTATGGATGAACATCTCCAAAAAATGTAAATATCTTGGCATGAAATGGTGAAAAAATCTCCTCCCAATCCCTGGCTTCGAGCTTCCGTATAAACTCGTTGCGTGTTGTGTGTGACCAGTTGATCTGAAAAGTATTGCTGTTATTGAAGGACTAGTCTGCAATGCAGCCTCGTGCAATGGAACGAAGTTCTAAGTCATAATACTTACAAAGTTTGCCAACAATGTATTGTAGATCGACCAAGAGGTGGAATGCAGATCTGGCAAACTGATATTTGCTCGTGAGAGGCATCATAGTGATCCCCTCGAATCATGTCCCACAGCGAAGCAAGGCCAAGGATGGGAAACTTTTTCCAATTTTTGCAATTTGGAGCCCATATCGCAAGACCTGGCCTAGTATACTGAGTCCATATGCGAAGGTTCCCGAAAGCCTTTCTTTCATGCATTGCCAAATCTTCAAATATTCGCTTGCAAAATTTGAGATAGTCCATTGCGAGACTTCGGCCTAGACCATCTGAAGCAATGCCAGAATGAGCAGATACCAAAATCTTCAGGGTTTGTGGCCTCAACCCCATTCCTTGATTGCCACAGGTCGAACATGGTATTTCCTAACACCGCCATCTTGGTAATAGGCAATACGAGCGAGTCGCAAGTGAACAAAATCTTCATGCCCGGCCTTTTTCCTCCTTCGACAGATCTTCAGGAGGCATAAAATCCTTTGGAGTTGGAACTCTGGCAACTTTTCCGTGTGGACTTACTAGGCAAATGTACGTTGCGCGATGGTACATTGTTGCTAGTCATAATAGCACAGGAACAATGCAGTCGGCTAAGGCCGTATTGAACCTATGGGTTGTCTTGCAGATTCTCCCCAGAAGTGTTCCTGATGGGCAGGCTCCTGTAATGCAAGATCACAGAAATCGAATGACATTTCTCCTGGTGAGGAAGTTTCAAGATATTTCATATAGCAAAAAGCAGCTTTGTAGATTTCATCATCATAGCCACTTGGAACACCTTCTCTTTGCTATCTATTGACTGATACACGGCACCGGCTCATAGCCTGAATGCTCTCGTGGAATGATGGATATGGAATCGCATCCAAAAGATCGACGTAACTGAAACTAAATAGCTATCATTTCGGACGACGCCAGGGCATTGTGTATCGCCCCATACATTAGATAGCGCAATGAACAGTGTCTGAAGTACAATTAGTCAGAGTGGTATGGACGATGCTGGATTGCAACTGATCCGTTGCCCCAGGCTCAAGTAGTGATTCATACGGATAAGTATATTTGACCGTTGAAGCGTGTCACCTGTTGCCTCTTGCCTCCATGTTTCGCTATCCAACTGAAAATACGAAGATGAATGAATTGATCGAGGTGAAACCAGAACATGGCCAAAATTATTCTAGTAATTGAGGGTAACCTCTTGGTACAATGCAATAACTCTTTTACCACTTCAATACGGAATTTTCAATACAACAATGGTCATCGACAGCATGTTCCAGTTACATGCCATTATGGATGAACCCAATCTTGAATCATTGCCTTGCGAAATTTGTGTCGAGCCGACCAAATCATGAGCGATAGAGGAATTAATTCTCCATGTTTTGTAGACCAGTGGGATAGGCCTTCTTAATGGCTAAGCAAAATGGACAAAATAGGCACAGGTATAATCTGGTGATTGATTCCCACGAATATTCGGGTTTTCGTGCTTTGAAATCTGGAATTCTGGATGGCCAACTCATGAGTTGTGCTTTTAGCGATAATATACACCTTACCTACCTCGATAACACTGCAGTGGAATAACACGTATACTTTTGATATGAATTTTGTAAATTGAGTCTAGAAATGAGTCCAGGTTGTTCTTTATGATTTGGTGGGCGGCATTGATAGCCCAATGGCATTCCGGCTTGCTTCCAAAGCTTTCTTTGAGCATCCCTCTTTTCTCCGGACCCAAACTCCGAACGTCATAAGCATATCATCAGCATCACCAACCTAACTTTGCCATCCATAAATTATTTTCAATCAACACAACAATCAACCAACAATACCTACAAAACTATCAATTGATAACACTGCAAAAAGCATCACAATCATGGCCTTTACCATGCGCCAACCATTCAAGCTAACCAGTTCGCTGGCTATAGCTTCCAAAACCGCCTTTCGATCCACCCCCGCGCGAGCTTTTCATTCCACCAAACCTACATCCTCTTTCTTCACTTCACGCACCACATCTCCCACTAGCACTCTTGTCAAAGCTCGAAATGCATTTAGAGGATCGAGAACATATCTGCAGCAACCAGCTGCTGTGCAGAATCCAAATGGTACCTTGATGCAGAAATTACTCGTGGGTGGTGCTATGTTTGGAGGAACATTATTTGCTATCAATATGGTATGATATCTTCTTCTTCCTCCTTAATTTCATTATCATCCTATTTGATAAAAAGCTAGACAAAACTAACAAACCCTCAGGTCTTCAACCGCGAAACCCGTGAAGATGGCGGAATGCCCGAATACGAACGTAGTTACCTAAACGATACATTTATGCACACAGGAATCGGCATTGGAATCATCGGATTATCTGCGCGCGCCATGTTCCAAAGTGGTTTTATTTACAGATTGATGGCGACTAATCCATGGGTGGTGATGATCGGTGGTATTGGTTTGAGTATTGGTACTATGATGGCTACTAGAGCTACGGATCCTAGCAAGTGAGTTTTTTCTTACCCCTCTTTGAATATTGGTTGTTGGATATTTCGAATTTCATTGTGGAGAGAGAGATGCAAGAAACTAATATGTAATAGTTACGTTCAAAAATACGCTCTCTGGACCGGCTTCAACGTAACTCAAGCCGCATTTGTCGCTCCCCTCCTCTTCATGGCACCACCCGCCATCATCGCCCGCGCAGGTCTCTACACAGTCGCCATGATGGGTAGTATCTCCTTCGTCGGCGCAACCGCCAAACAAGAAAAATACCTTTACCTCGGTGGACCTCTCCTCGCAGGTGTAGCCCTCGTCGCCGTTTCCGGATTCGCTCCCCTCGTACTCCCAGCTACAGCAGTTAGAACCTTAGCTTTCACCGAAAATATCTTTTTGTGGGGAGGTCTTGCTGTATTTGGTGGTTTCACACTTTATGATGTGCAAAAGATTTTGGCACATGCGAGGATGGCGGAGAGGGGCATGATGAGGAGAGATGCGGTTAATGAGAGTATTTCCTTGGAATTGGATTTCCTGAATATTTTCATCAGGATGGTGCAAATTTTGATGATGCAGAATAATAGGAGGAAGTAGAGAGGGTGGTTGTGGAATAGTACAATGAGAGATGGAGGATATCAATCTGGGACTTGTTCGCACAGGGGGAGAGAATAAAGAAATGAATGGTAGGGCAGAATACATGACAGCAGATGAGGTTGCATTAAAAAAATAGCTCTGCTCTTTGAGATGGGATGATGGTTAGGTTAGGGGAGTCTGCGGACTATTTTTTGTACACTTCTCCTCTCCTTCTTTTGGCATACTCGGAATTTGCCTGTGGTAGTAGGTAACATATATTAATTAAAGCAAAAGCAAAAGTAAAAACAAAATATCAAAATATCAGAATAGTAAAATACCCACATCTTCAATCCCAGTAACTAGGTACCTAGTTTAGCATTGCATGCCACTGAATAATGATAAAAAGCTCTTGTTGACTCTCCGGGTAGTTCTACTCATTTCATATCATATCTGACTGCCGACTCTACTAGGTACTCGTAACTACCTACATAGATAGGTACCTATCTATATAAATAAATCCTACCTATACCCAGTAACCCCTTAAATATTTCCTATCCCATTTCATCAAAATAATAAAGACACAAAGTTAAATAAATGTGTA